ATCTGATAAAATGGAAATTTATCCTTTCTGGTTATGACAATTTCTTGTTTTATACTCCTCACAGTCATCATGATAAATAATTTTCCAAAACGTTTTTGGATTGGTTTCATCAAATTTATTTTTTAAAATACTGTGTATCTATACCTCTAATAGCAATCTTGGCAACCCCTCCCCACTTTTTTTGATTTTAACTGGCCCTGTTGAATGGATGGTAGATTCCACCTTTTCCTTTTTTATTTTTCATTAAAAATAATGAACAATATTTAAATATTATAATACAAGATGATTTTTTCTCTAAAAACTAGAACCTTTTAAGAAAAATTACATATTATTCTTACTATTATACTTATTCAGTTACTACAATAAATGGTAAAATATTTTCTGTCCATGTGTGATTTATGCATAATAATTTGCCTTTAGACTTTTTCATATTTCACATTGTTCCTTAGTATTCAAAGTTGTTTCTTCTCTTTCCTTGATGAAATAAATAATATAATTTGAGCAGTCAATAGAATTCATTTATATTAATTGATATAATATATCAAAATATATATTATATCAATCTGCACCAACAACTCCCTCTCCCTCTCCTGGAATTAGAGAAAAGTTTATCTTCCTGTAGTTTAAATCTCATGCTTTACCACTGAAATTCTGCTGTAGAAGAAGAGGCAGAGCCTAGGGACCAGCACCAATTTGGTGCTGAAGGTTAGTTGACTAGAGGCTTGAGCAATAAATCTTAACTAGAACTTAACATATCCTCCTGATTCTTTGCACTTGGCATTCTGCACATCCGACTGGAGTTTTCCTTTTCCTTGTACCCCATCCATTCACTAAAATTTTCCCAAAGGTTCTTCCAACCACTGAAGCTATTTTTCTGGGAACGTACCCAGATATTATGGGGAAAAGGAGGGAACTTAATTTGCTCTTTTGTGTTTGCTTTATTTCCCTCTTACCACATTATACATTCTATTCTACAAGGAAGCTTTCTATATCTTTATCTCAAACTAATATTACAGTCATCTAATGCAGCTATAGAAGCTGATATCATACTGTAGTATAAGACAACATGAGACTTTCTGTTGGTTTTGCTGATACATTTTAATATTACTTTTTATGTGTACCTTTGACTCTTGGTGACTTCCTGGCTAAGTCCCTGCAATCTTGGCAAGATTTTGGAAGTGGTTTGTCATTGTCTCCTTCCTAGAGCTAAGACTTTCTCAAGGTCACTAGCTGGCTTTGTATGTAAGATGCAGAGGTGATATTCAGCAGTTCTGATCAGTTATGGAAAACCGATAGTGAAAATTCTGAGTTCGGAGAACCAGTAAATATCACCTCTGACTTGCCCCGCTCCCATCTAGTCTCTGTCTCCTGAGTCCCAGCTGATTGGGAGGGAATGGGGATTTTGCAGTANTAAACATTCCTCTGAAAGACTGTTAAAGTCATGCTGATTGTGAATGAAAGTAATTCACAGTCGTGTAAATAAAAGAGGTTTTGTCGGGACCAGGACTTTGCTTCTTGCTTTCTAAGGAAGCCTGCGTCAGAAAATTTGGCATTGTACAGATGCTAAATAGAAATGCGGAATGTATCAAGGCTTTGGCTCAATCTCTCCCTTCACTATTCCCATCACTGCATGCAGAGAGTGAAGAAGGCGATTGTGTCAGAATTATGCAACAAATATTACCTAGGAACAGAGAGCTGAGAGTGCTAGGAACAAGATAATATTTGAAAACAGTTCAGACGACACCTCCCTGATTCACTTAGATATAAGAAAGAAGGGAGATAAAGTATAACCAGACTTGCCAGATTATTTTATTGCAGCCTATGTCAATAACGTTCTAATCTTCCTGTGGAGTTAATCTTTGGTTTGGTCTACCTTAGTTAGGCTCATCCCTGATTGTAGAGAACGAGAGAGAACCAAGGCAACACTTTCTCCACAACTTTCCCCCAAAGGGGAGGTTAGTAAACAGTTGGAAATGACCCAATACCTTTGGATCTAGCATTGATTTTACTTAATTACTTAATGATCAATATTTATATAATTGCCCATCTTATAATAACCCTGGACAGTTTCTTCAGGAGGAAGAAAGAGGAGGAGGAAGAGGAGGAAAGGCAGAAGCAAATGACAAAACCAGGGTAAAAAAAACCATCCAACAATCTAAAAGGGCTTCATTCACCCTTTGAAAGCTTGTGCAAAGCTTGGACACACAGAAATAACAGAACAGAATCTCTCTCTTAGTCCTCTATTCAGCTAGAGTCCAACTCAAGAGTGGTTCTAAGAAACCATCAGATGCCTATAATGATTTGCACCCAAAGAGGAATAATCTGCCCGATTTGACCACATCCAAGTCAGATCTATAACTAGAGCCCCTCACTACAGTTCATTTCTGTTCAAATCAGTCCTGAGCCTATCCACCATATCTATAAATCCTGCCATGTATAATCTAGATGTCAAACAATCTTCTCCAGGCAATTAAGCATAATCATCTCTACTGATGTAACTACAGTTAGAAATTGGACGGACATTCCAGAAGGAGGCAGTGGCAAACCATTTTTGAACTGTTAATAAGAAAACTGAGCTCCAAGATCACCACAGATGGGGACTGCAGCCAAGAAATTAAAAGACGCTTGCTCCTGGGGAGGAAAGCAATAGCAAATCTAGATAGTATACCAAAAAGCAGAGACATCACCCTGCCATCAAAGTGTGTATAGCCAAGGCTATGGTTTTCCTGGTTGCAATGTATGACTGTCAAGGTTGGACCATAGCGTGCCAAAGAATTGAGGCCTTTGAACTATGGTACTGGAAAAGACTCCTGTGAGTCCCTTGGACTGCAAGGTAATCAAATTGGTCAGTCCCAGAGGAGATCAACCCTGAATGCTCTTTCAAAGGCCAGATCCTGAAGATGACACTCAAATACTTTGGCTACCTAATGAAAAGGAAGGACTCACTGAAGGTGAGCCTAATGCTGGGAAAGATTGAGGGCAAAAGAAGAAGGGGACGGCGGAGAATGAGGTAGCTGGATGGAGTCACAGAAGCAGGAGGCGTGAGCTTAAATGGACTCCAGAGGATGGTAGAGGAAAGGAATGCCTGGAGAAATGTTGTCCATGGGGTCACAATGGGTCGGACACGATTTTGCAACTAACAACAACAAAAAGAAGAAAAC